TGATGCACTCATTCACAAGTCAAAATTTGCATATTAAACACATAATTAGCACTACATTACAATTACTACATAACTACCCATAGTAGGGTTTCCCTGGTTACCTCAAATCTTTGAGAGGTCAAAGGTTTACCTCTCAATATAATAGCTTTCAAGCTTTAATTTCCAAACCAAATAGGTGTCCAAGAGCTTAATTTACAATTTAACAAGTTAATTTCCATTAATATTGCCAAACTCAAGCATTCGTCTCTCATTTCTCCACTTCCAAATTGTCCAATGCCCACTTTATATGAGTTTGAGTCTATGTATTGGGTTTATTAATTATCTTTAGTCCCCGATGATATTAATGAGCTATTAAATCCCATTAATAGCATCACACTTCCAACAACCCACTTTAATGCAATTTTCACATGTTTATTAAGCCCAACCACCTAAGACATCAAAATTCATTATACCTAGGTTTAAATACTTTAATTTACTCCTATTAACTCTCTTTGAGTCAAAAGATTTGGACCTATAATCTATATGGACTGAAAATTATCTTCTACTATCAAAACCTAACCATAAATTTCATAATATGGAAGAGAATGGGAGATTAAGAGGTATGATATTTACCTTGGGTATTTGTAACTTCCAAAACACTCCCAATATCATCCAAGAACAAACCCTAGTAGAGCTTGGCATGCCTCATCATTTTCTCCTTTCTCTCCTTTCCATTTCTGTCTCAATTTTGTGATTGATAAATTGTAAAAAATGACCATGTGTCGTGAGGTCCTCATTCCACTTCTGAAGTGTCTGTACACTATAGTGGATGCTCTCCATGCTATAGTGTGTGGCACAACAATACTAACCCTTTATTTTCTTCTCCTTTCGATACTTAGGTGGCTTGACTTGATATTAGACCCACAATTTAGGCTGAAACATGCTCGAATATGATTGTTAGACCTTCCTAGCTACACACCACTATAATTTACTTAATTATTCTAATTAAGCTTAGTAAGTCAGGGGATTAAAAACAAAGATGTTACAACTTGTGACTTGTAGCTAGTAGCATAATTAACCTACTGCTAACTTGATATGAGCCTACAGGGTCGCACACAAAAACAGCCCAACTCGAGCTATAATATCCAACTTTGTTGAATATAAAATGTTTCTAGATTCAATAAATGTAATGCTTTATATAAGGTGAATGAATTATATATATATATATATATTTGAATATTTAATTAATAAATATTTATATATATATATATTTATATAAAATATAAAATTCAAAATATAACTATATATATATATATATTTCAAAACACATATATATTCTTGTGTGTGTATGTGTGTCTGATATGTATGTATGTATGTATGTGATATATAAAATTTAAAATATAATATACTGTATGTATATGTATATATTTTTGAAATATATATATATATATATATATGTATATCCTTTTGTGTATATATATATATAATATAATATGTATATCTGATATATATTATATTATGTTATTAGTTTTAAATTTAGTTTTATATGATAAAAGTAAATTTAATAAATAACTTGATATAAGGAGATATCATATCAGTTTTATAATTTAAATTAGATATGATACATATATTAAATTTATGAGATAAATTTAATTTAATTTTTTGTTGGCTCATTAAAGGAAGACAAAAACCTTAATATATATATATATATATATATGATAGAGAAGGGGACGTGATTGATGAGAGAGTCAGAAAAAGTTCTAACGGAAAAAACATAATGAGAGCCACGGAAACATCCTAGAGAAAAGAGAAGTTCGACGTTTAAGAAAACAAATGGACGTATCGAGTGCTAGCATGCTATTTGAGTTGAGATCTATTCGTGTGGATACTTGTAGAAAGAGATTATTTATGTTGTCAGCTCCTGAGATCCAACTTCTTAAAGACAACACATGAGAAGTTTGAAAAACTAATAAAAGGTAACTCTTCTATCTACCTTGACTTAAATAAGTTCAATCGATCTATGATCATGATTGGAAATTTTTTTTCCTTCGTTGCACCTTCCCAATCCAACACTTTTGTCATACTTTATGCAAAACATGTTGATCCTTAAAGGAATTCTAATGGAGATCGAGAAATTTAGTAGGAAGTTCCTTTAAAATAATAGAGATGATCAAAAGAAGACTCATCTTTTGTCTTGAAGCAAGATTAAAGAGCAAAAGCACTCTGGTAGACTTGGGATCAAAGACCTCCAACTTCAAAATAAAGCTTTCATTATGAAACTTTGCTAGGCTCTCCTCACCAAGCTAGACTATCTTTAGGTTAAATGTTTGAAAGTGAAATATAACTGTGGAAGTGGGATTAGCCCTTTGGTCACCAAAAAATGATATGCTTCGTGCACTTGGCATAGCATGGGAAAAGTTTAGGAGGAGTTTCTCCAAGGAGTTAGTAAAAAGGTGAGAAATGGTACTACAATAAATTTCTCATGGGAGTATTAAGCTCCATTAGAACAAACTTGGATAGAATTTGTGTCACAATTTGATTATCCTATTGATCCTCATGCAAAGATCTGTGACTTTGTCCTTCCTTTAGATGTATCGGATGAAGAGCTTCTACACAAATATTTTTCTTTGGATGTCATAAATAGAATATTTGTTGTTTCTCCTTGCATTAGTCCACAAAATGATGAGTTTTGGTGGAAAGCCAACACTAATGGTAGCTTTTATGTTGAATCTACTTACAAATTCCTAGAAAGTAACGCGTCCACCATTAGAAATCTTATTTGGAAATATTTATGAAAATGGTCTTTATTGGAAAAATTGAAATTTTTCTTTCGGCAAGTTCTTCATGAGAGAATTCCTAATAACCAATTAAGAGCAAAGAGAGGTTTTACCACTGATGCTTATTTCCCCTTCTAGTGTGAGCACGAGGAGAGTACAATCCACATTTTGAGAGATTGTCCGAGAGCTAAAAATACATGGAAGGAAAGCATTAATCCTGTTTTTTATAACCACTTCTTTTCATGCAATGTGTACGACTGGATCTACTAGAACTCATCTCACCAAATTAGTGGTAGACAATTCAAGCATTGACCCTCGATTATAGTTTTTGGACACATATGATGGCTCTTGTGGATACGAAGATGCCATTTTTGAAGGGACTCGATATAGCATTGGCATATCATATATACTTGTTGAAGAAGGCTTATAGAAGTGAGACTTGGGGTCATTCATTGCGTATCATTTCGTTACAGGTAACCAACATGGCTACAAATGGATTACTTTGTAGCTAGGTACAATTTGAATCAATGTGGATGCATACAGGATCCAACAACAATAGCATTCAGCTTGTGGAGGTCTAGCTCGAAATTCAAATGGCCAATGGATAAATGGTTTTCATGTAAATTGGGCAATATTCCAATAACCATTGCAAAAATCACAGCCATTAAATATGGTGTGGAATTAGGTATCAGTCTTGAAATACTGAAAGGGCAAGCATTTACTCTGAATCACTTGAAGCCATGCAATTGATATATGGAGGAGTAAATTTTGATCATCCATATTTTGAAGATGTTGCAGGGGTACACGAAACTCATTACTAATTGTAGTTATTTAAAGCTTCTTCATGCTTCTAGAGAGGCAATAACTTGCACAGATTTTCTGGCCAACAGAGCGCATGCTTCAACTTCTAAAATTTCTTTGCCCAATGAACCCCTTATAGGGTGTGAACCTGTTCTTTTGTTTGACTGGGAGTCTATCCCACTAACCTTTTGGTTTTTTTTTTCCCCCTATTACACTTTTAACATCTAGCTTTGGCTAACCTTTGTCATGAGGGGGCAAAAAAAGAAAAAGAAAAAGAGCAAAACCCCTTGATTTTCCTACCAGGCAAATAGGACATTCATATACTTAATATTTCTTTTTGAAAATCATTAAATTCTCATAAAAAATTGAATTATTAACATTGCTAATATGATGTGTCCATGTTCTTTACATTGTCATTGTCTGATTCAATGGATATTATATTATTAGTATTGTTTTGCCTTTATTACTGTAATCGAATCATAGCCTTGCTTGAGATATTAAACTCTTAAAAATAAGAAAAAATCACATTTAATTTTGCAAAGCATACATATTTACAAATAAGTTCTATAAAATTTAAAAATCATATTTATATCCCTTAGGACTTAAGTATAAATTGAAATTATAATATAAAGATAATAATGCCTCTATTAAAAATATATTACAATAGTAAAGTAATTAGCAATTATTGAATATGTGAATTTATAGTTATAAAAAATTAAAATAATAATAATAAATAAATGATAAAGTAGTTGTAAATAATTAGTATTAAATTTAATTAACAAGGCTTGATCAATTTAATTATTAAATATGTAAAATTAAAATTGTAAAATATTCAAATATAGTTATAAATTATTGATTAAGTAGTTGTAAACAATTAATATTAAACTATATTAGTAATGTATCATCAACCTAACCATTAAATATATAAAGTTATAATTGTAAGATGTTAAAATAATAGTTATAAATTACTAATAAAGTAATTGTATACAATTAGTATTAAACTTATAATGCATAATTATTTTAATTATTACATATAAAATTATAATTATAAAAGTAATAGTTATAAATTATTGATAAAGTAATTATAAATTACTTCATTAATGTAATACATTTTTAATAATAACCTTGTTATCTTTGTACTCCCGTTTCAAATTATAAAACACTTTTAAATAATTTTCTTCATTTTAAAATATAAAACATTTTGAATGTATTGAAATTTCATTAAATACATTAATTTCAATAATATCATTTCTTTTTTTATATTTAATTCTCGTCTCTTCTCTTTTGAATTTATTAAATGGTAAGTTATTTTTTAAAATTTATATTTTTATTTTGAAAAGATAATGCTGTTAAGGTATTTAATTAAGTTTATTGATATGTGAAATTTTATTTAAAAATATCTTATAATTTAAGAATGAAAAAATAGTTTTCTTCAACTAGAAATCAAGAAAAAAGAATTACCGTGTTGCTCCTTCTTTCTTTCTTCTTCTTGTTTTTTTTTTTTTTTTGGGTGAATATTGTATCGCTCCTTCTTCTAACGAAGAATCGTCATTAGGAACAAAATCAAGACAAAACCAACAAGGAAATCTCCAACAGGTATCATCATCTGGGCTCTCAAACTAAAAATATTGCGAATATGTTATATTCCCAGATATCTTTACAGTGTACACCACCTTCAAGTCTTCATCTTGGTTCTTCCTTGTCAACCTGAAAAGCTTAAAAGGAGATACATGAGAAAAACAAACATTTGATAGAATCCAAAGCTATACTTCTACGAGTTGTGAGGGCATGTCTAGAAGTATTCTGTTGCTCAAGTTAAGCGTATCCTTTTCAGAACAATATAGAACTAACTTCTGAGATCATATATCCATGGCATAAGATCATAGGCAATTAAGAGGTGACAGCATTTGACACAGACACATATACATTATTGTTCAAGCTTAAAAGTGTCAATTTTGAAGTCATGATGGTATAGATTCATATATATGGAGCTTGCATGGAATAGAACTGGAACGTCCCCAAGTGTTGATGGCTCAGTTCTTTGGAACATGTTAGCCTTAGTTTTATAACTTCAATTAATTGGCTAGCTGTTCCTCGTTAAATATGTGCATGTAAAGCTCACAAGACATGTCAAAGAGCAAATTCACAAGCAACTTAACTGAAATTATAACAGTAGAACCTCATTAATGAAAAATGTTGATGACGAAAGCCTACAGCCTGAGTTTAAACTAACAGAATGCATTTTCATTGGACTGATCATGATGCTAGAAATTTTGTGTGTTTTCCCTTTTATCATTGTCAACAACAGTGTTACATTGAAAGGTCGAAAGGTCAAAAGTTTTGCGCTTGTTTTGTATGCCTATTCTTCAAGTTGATAAAATAAGAGGAAGAACACCCAAAATTATAACAAGTAATGAGATTCCATCATGAGGTCAGATACTGTTTAGGTTCTTCTCTCCAAAGATAATCCATTCAACTATACCAACCAATGAAAATGCTTAAATCCCTGAAGACATGAATGCAATCCCATGCGAACACAGGTTATACCTTTGGCACTTTTTAAAGCATATGTAGTGGTTCTCAACTTCTCATCACATTTAATACAGCTATCTATTTTGTTTCATGAAGCACTATTTACAAAATTGAAATTGTAAATAAGATCTTTTTTTTTTTTGACAAATCTTGGAAGATTATCTTTCGATACATCTCTCTCGTCCAACACCTCTAGAATTTTCCTGATAAAAAGCAGTTGAACTGGCCAACACAACTCGCCCTTACACTTCTTCCGCTTTATCCTCTGGAATGGACCATTATCAAAAGTAAACTACAAAGGTACAGCATCTTCTAAACCCAAAACCATAGGTCAAAATTCAGGTTATTCAAGCAGAATTGTTTTGTTGAGTATGCCATAAGGATTTATCATATAGCTGGAAGGGAAAATCCGTATTTCAGGACTTAGCATACCAACTTCTATTTCCACTATTTATTCAGCATATGTAAGGGGATCATTTCACAGGAAGAACTATCTATTTTGCTTGTTCTTAAATAAATTTCCCTTAACATAAAAATTAAAATAAATAAATAAATAAATAGTAGTAGAAGAAGAAGAAATGAAGAATGAATATACAAAGAAAGTATGCCAATCTTTTGGATAGCATAAAGAAAATGTCCGCTGTCAGAAGCAAATTTTATGATTTTCTAATTGCAAGCGTGTATCCTGATCTCTATACCAGACCATTAGACATGCAACAACCAAGATTATGTTTTATTCTTTCCAAGTTCAAGAATGAAGAACCAAAGTCCAAGACGTAATAGAAGCATCCACAATCCTCTCAATGCCATTTCAATTTCTCAACAAGTAACGACCATCATTTTAAATGACCTTCATTCTAAATTTGAAGAAATAGAATTGTGGCATGCCCACATAGGATCACCAAATAGCTTATTTCTAAAACCTAACCCTTGTTGGACAAATTGAAAAACAGCACGTAGGCATTTCTCTTACATGAGCAACATCATGCGGACAGAACAATTCAGTCTCGTTCGCAAACCAAAACCATAAATTTAAGTCATGTTAATGTTGTTACATAACCGGGGTAAACGAATCCTGTTTAATTTAGTTCAACAATTAGAGTTATGCCGCATACCAACTTGGGACCACCAAACTAATAAAAAAAAAAAACCGATTGCTAAATCCCATTGCATTGCAGCAAATTAACAAACAGTACATGGGCGTCTCACTTTACCCAGGAAACCCCGGGTGGGCTGAACAATCAAACAAATCTCACAAGAGAAATAAAACCACAGATTTTTCTTGAATTACCAGGTGAAGAAAGCGCATTACCGCGTCGTCTACTTCTTCTTGCCTCCCTTAGGAGAAATCCCCCTACGCCGAGAGGGAAGAACAATCTCTCCTTTGAGGACTGGAATCTCCATAATCTGAGAGAGCTCACCGAACTTCTTCCGAAACTTCTCAACTTGGTCGGCATCCACCAAGACAGCACTCCGGTTGCCGAGGTAGAATGGGTGGTTGCCGGACCACACATCCACCACATACTCCTTCTGAGTACCTCCAGTAGTCATCACCAGCTCTCCATTGCAGTACACCTTCGCGTCCTCGTAGAACTGTGGGTGTATGTCCTTCTTCCTGCACGTTACTGAAGTCACCCCTGTGCTCCTCACCTGAAAGAGTTCAATGATGCTTCGAGTAAGTGACTGAACAGAATTTCAGAAAATAGAGCAGAATAAAGAAGAAGGGTTCCGAAGGAATTTGCCGATACACTGTTCGCAGGGAGTGGCCGAACCGGAAGGACGGGTTTTCCCTGTAGAGAGGTGTTTGTTAGAAGAGCCTGCGCCATTTTTCAGCTTCGGATGAGGAGGATGAGATTATGTGGTTTTCGAGGCCACCTACTCTGCTCTCGCCTGTCCATTTATATTTTTATATTTATATTACTTAATAATTTAATAATTAATGCATGTATTTTCTCTTTCTACTTATAAATCAATATCAACGTGTTTTATTAAAATAAAAAAAATAAATTTAATTAACTTTATCTTGAAAATTTATAAATTTTTACCTTTATTTTTAATAAATATTCTTAAATTTTATTATTGATATTTTTATTTAAAATATTTAATAAATATAAAAATATAAAAAAAATTATTAAAAATTAACAAGTATCATGTAAATAAGATTAAATTTTTTATCTCTCTACACCCTATAAATGAAATTATAAAAGTAACTTCTTAAAATAAATATAATAATATATGAACTCTTATTTATAAAAATTACTATTTACTCTATTAAAAAATATAAAATATTTTTAATCGAATCTCACATTTTAATAAAATAGTTGCTTGTCTTTCAACTAATTTTATCTTTTTATATTTATCTCTATTTAATAAAGTATTTCAACATAAAATAAATATAAAATAATTTATTTAATAGAAGTACTTTTGGACAAAACAATGATTATATTTTAAAAAATTAAAAATATCTTATATTTTTAACATATAACTCATTAAAAAATGCCTTACATTTTCCTAAAGAGAATATCAATCAATTAAAAAGTTAAAATATCATTCAAGGTCCCCATACTTTAATTATATTTTATTTTTAGTCCTTTAATTTAATGTTTTACATGATTATTTAATTGTTGAGTTCAATCAAAAATAATTCTTCTAAAATATTTTTTATCTTGACACAAATTCAAACATAAAATTTTATTTTTAAATAGTCATAATTCTTTCAAGAATCAAAATTTGTAGGTTCCTCTAATTTAGTTTCCCTTGCCCATTTATTTAATTAATTTGTAATGTTAATCCTTCTAAATAAAAATAAAAAATATTTAAAAGCATCATGAGCTAGTTCGAATGGTATGTATTTTGCTCACATGACTTACACATGCTAAAGCTCCATCTCATCTTTAGCCTATGCAAAAGTTCTTCAGTTTTATTCAACCCAATCTAATCTAAGAAGGTTTGATCTTGTCCGATCTAATTAAAAATTAGTCCTTTAGGATTGAAAAAACTAAAAAGACTAGAATGTTTTTTGGGTTAGAATCGACAGGAGACTAGGTATTTGGACTACTTGATCCATTCAAATCCTATTAAATTTATTTAATATAATTATAATTAATTTATTAATTATTTATAATAATAAGTTAAGACTATTAATAATTTAATAAGTCTGGTTGCTAGCACAGTCGCATGCTTAGACTTATAATTTAATAATCTAAACCACTTGAATTATAACTGAAATATTTTTTTTTCTTGTTGTTGGAAATTATTATAAATTTATTATGATTATAAGTGTTTTTATTATCTTAATTGAGTTTATTAGGTTGACAAGAGGGAAAAAAAAAAAGCTAAGTACATATTGAATTAACAAAACTAGTCTCTCAGTCTTATAAACCAAATTCGATCCTGTTAATTTTCAGATTATCACTAAATCAGACCTGTCTACGAGTTATCTAACTCAATTCTTTAAAAAAAAAGATTAAATTTCAAGTTAGGTTAAAATTCAATTCCATCCAATTCTTTATACAGCCCTAACTCATCTCATGCTTTTCATACATCATATATAATTTCATTATGAGCTGTGAAAGGTGTTAACTTAATGTTAGCAAATAAATATCATTTGGGACAATGAAAATAAACTACAAACTAAAACAAAACAATATTAAAATTAAAATATAAAGGATGAAGAGCTGTTTTGACTATTTTCTCAGTTAAAAACAATTGATATTTTTATAAATTTTTTTAATAAATTATTTCTACCAACTTCATCAATATCAATATAAAAAATTTTAAATATACTTTTATTTAATAAATTTAAAAAATAATATTATATTACTTTTTTTATAAAAAATAATTTTAAAAATATTTTTTAAATATTATCTTAAAAAATTATATTATAAATAAATAGGGGCAGAGGGAGGGCACCTTATAAATTATTTTAGGACCCTTCTTGCAATATAGATTTTACAGGGGAAGGAACTCGGAAAGTTGAGAGGGGAGACTGCGGAAATAGAGGCTGCGGAAATGTATCGCTTCGCATGTCTGCTTCTTGCCACAACCGCGACTCTCTTTCTCTCCTCAGCATCACGTTTTCAGCTGAACCAGACGACGATTTCATCTCCGAATTGCAGCACGTCAAGTTCCAAATCGCTCGGTTAGGTAATGGATGACATGCATTACGGAGCGCATATTTGGAACTGTTTATACTCTTCAATGGATGTCTCGGATTCGATCATTTTTATATATATCCATCCAATTTCTAATGTTTATGTTTTGGGTCATCTTTGAACAGTAGTGTTACGGATGGTTCACTACTTTGTAAATTGCTACATATATTTCCCCTGGCTTTGCTTTGTTCTAAGTCTGGTTCTGTGAATCCGACTGAAGAAAATAGTGTATGAATCTGCCATTTTGCTTCTCCGGCGTAAATTAGCTCCTGCATATCAATTCTGTGTTGAGAACCTTCTTTCTTTTCTTTGCATATCGTTATGAGAAATAATTGAATGCAGAGTCCATTCTTGAAGAAAACAGTCAGAAGTTGAACGAAAGAAGCCTCTATCTCAAAGAATGTGAGAAGCGAATAGATGAAATGTCGGAAAAAATCCTTAATCTACAGTCTACTCTCTCTAGCATTAAGGTTGGTCTTCAAGCAGTTCTAAGTAACTGCATCTTTATGTTTTCAAGAAGTTCCAAATTTTTCTCTGCTTTGATCATTCCAAAACCCATTCAACTATATTTTTTTGTCAGTGTTAAAGCATGATCATCAGGTAGCACTGCCCCATTAGCTTTCTTTCTTGTTTATACCTCTCTGATTATTTCCCCTTATTTAGGAGAACTTAAGTTCCCCGGTCGACGGGTGTATATGCATACCATGAATTAGTCTTCTGTTTAGCTAGGGAAGTTTAGTGAACATTCTTCTGTTTTCCTCCCTCAACTGGAGAAGGAGAATTATTGAAGAGCAGGGAATATTACAAAACAATCGATCCAAATCAACCGAGACGCTGAGAACAAACATCATTTCAAAGTTCCTTTGCAATTGAAACTTCCTTGAAGAGACCTTAACTAAAGGGATGCCAAAAGGACAATCTTATCCGACAACTTATCAATGAATAGGGGAAACACCTAAAAATAAGAGCATTTCGTTCCAGCCTAAAGCAAACATAATAGCTAGCATATCAACACAAAGCCTTTCACTCCTTCTGAAAATCTATGAAATTAGATTAATGAAATATCTCAACATGTGGAGGCAAACCCCATGAAATGAATTTTTCTTACTTTTTACTCTTAATAAACATTTTGCAACGACTCCTTGTACACCTAAACTGGACTTATCTATCTAAAATTACGTTATCTTGACAACCTGCAGTGAGTGCTTTATTCTGATATACCATGCCTTTATGTCACTTCATTGGAGAGATAAGATTTATGCATCATTGATATTATTTCCTGCAAATAATATATTTGATAATCACATTGAACTGTCTTGCAGGCTGATTCATTTCAGGCTGAGAAGCGAATCAAAGCTCTGGAGGAAGAGGTTTTGGGTTTCTCCCCCTTTTATTTCTCTGCATCATTTTTCTTACATAACTGCTTTTTATGATCGTTCATATGGAACAGCACAGACTGTAGCATTTTTTCTTCTAGAATATCTAGAAGTTATTAAATGATTTGGGCTAGGCTTGATAATGTTTAGGTACAACTTCTTTGGGCTACTTCAAGAAAGAACAACTTTGATCTCCATATTTTGGAATCTAATGCACAAGATGCTGAAAAAAGACTCAAGGAGATCACTTCAGTAGTTGAAAAGGTTTAGATCCTTGCTTTATTAATATTTTTCTATAATTTTATACATTTAATCTTTTCCTTCATCTGCTTAAAGAGATTTGTATAATGCGTATTGGAAAGGAAATCCTTCTATATAAGGAGAAAATAAATTATTTCCCACAAGCTACCTAAACATTGAAATCTGCAGTGCCTTTCCACAAAATTTACTAGATCCTACTGTCATTTGTTTAGCAATGGAGTTTCACCCATGACAAGGACTTTGGAGTGAGTGCCTTTAAAAATGTTGCATCGCATGAGAGCATGTGGAAGTATTGTGCGTCTGAATTACATCAAAGATTCCATTCAGGAACATTCTTTCTTATGCTCCAACATTAATTTGGTTTATGTTTTGCATCATTTTCTTGCAGGGGAACTTCTGTTCCATGCCATTCTTTCTCTTTTCTTCGCATGAAATTCATCCAGCTTTTGGAGTTTGACACAACCAAAGGGAAAATAGTGGCTTTGGAACTAGTTGCCTAGCGTGTAGCGTACCTTGGAACTAGTTTCCTAGTGAACCAGCTACTGAGCATTTTAGTACTGGTAGTCATGATGAGTAAAATGGAATGCATAAGATAGGCTTTGCGCTGCAAGAAAACTTGGAGAGGGTTAAGATTTAAGGATGCCTGGAATCCCTTTCTTATGCAGTGTGTAAAACATTGTTTCTCAAAAAGGAGTCAGCTTTTATAATCGTGCCATTATGCTTTTTCTTGTTTTCATCCAGTTTAATGTTTCTTCCTACGTACATTAACTAGCTGCTGTTATTGTTTATCTCTCATTCAGACGGGTGACATAGTGACAGAGCAGTGGATTCAAGTTCAGCATCTTGAGCAAGCTCTTCACATTGCTGAAGTAATGAAGTTCATTTTATAGTTTCTAATTGGAAACCTAGACAAATATGCAGTTCCTTATTTTCTGTTCTAGATTCTCTAAAATTTGTATCTGACCTTGTTTATGTATGTGTGTATGTACAAAGATGAGGACAATGAAGGCTCGAAGGTTAGCAGGCTTTCCAAGATGCACATTCTTGAAGGTAACTTTTAATTTTTTAGATAAGTGATTTGATCACCTCAGTCGACTTACATGTTTATTTGTCCTCAAGTTCTTCAACAGCATTCTTGATGATTTTCGGGCAGTGCAATCATATCTGTTTGGTGACAGGAGTACAGCCAATTTTCTGATCTCACAGGCTACGGATCAGATGAAGAGATCTTTTTTATTGGCCAAAACCTACCACCACCAGGTCTGCTTGATAACATAATATTTATCTCCAGATTTAGTAGGTTTTAGGGGATGATATCTACCTCTTATGAGACTTGCCAAAAAAGAAATCTGCCTCTTACGAGACAAGTTTTTTATTAGGTTAAATGCAAGTACTACCTGGTAAAGAATGAGATATTCTTTGAACCTTATACTAATAGAAAATAGAGATAAAGAGGCTCAAATTCGCAACGAATCTGTTCAATCTCTGTATATCAGAAAGGGAAGAACCCTTAAAACAACCATATGCTGAGCATAGCAAAAGCCTTCAATGACACATACATAATCGTGAGCATGCTAAATTTCTACTTTCAAGGAAATTCCAGCGCATCAAATTCTTAAATTCAAAATTTTTTCATGTCAATAATTTCAGAATATTTTTAGCCATATCCCCTTTTAAAGGAACCCAAGATCTATGCACTAACAAATTCTTCACTGCATGCATGTTCATGCAGCTTCAAGCTTTCATCAAGGATTTGATGAAAAGACATAAATTGACTTCAGCTTTTGCTAATGATGAATTAGTTTTCTTCCTGGTATGATTTAAATATCCTTTACCATCCAATTTGAAAATAGATCAGTCACTATAACATTTCTACAGATCCTTTTCATTTCTTATGATATCACCCTTTGATCAAGTTTACATGTTTTCAGGCTTCTGCTCTTGTTACCTTTCCAGTGATGGGTGCATGGATGTTGCTCTCATCATGAACTTAGAGCACCAAGCACACAAGACTACCTCCCAAAGGAGAATGTCCTCCATAGTCCATACTGCTTTGAGTGCTTAGATAGCTGAATTTTTATAGTGCAGCTTTACTGATTAAGTCGAATATGAAACTCAAATTGAGGTTATCTTCGTCAACTATGAGAACTACATGTTATTAGTCTGTCTTGTTGGCATGATATTCATTTTCTGCTGCTTCTCATAACTTGCCCTCATCTTTTAGCCAAAAGAAGGGGCGGGGGGAACTAACCTCCCTCGACTCATGAAATGCTGTAGCATTTTTGTTGTTACTATTTCTTTCCTTTAACAAGCAAATGCATTGGGGATTTTATTGTATGTCGAAAGAAGGCAGCAAGCATGGTGTATTTGTAACTCATTTTTCTCACGTTATTAGACAATGTTGAAAGAATGATGTTGTTCCAACACATAAGACAATTTGATGAATAATGTTTCACTAATAATGCTTTTCTATAAAGAACTGAAATGATTGTAGATTTAGAATGATGTTAAATGAAGGATATTTGTAAAAATGTATATTTTTATTTTAAAAAAATAAGTTTATAAAGTATCATTATTAAATTTTGTTGGTATATGTAATTAGAGTTGGGAATTCAGGCTGGCTGAGCTTATTTAGATGATCCAAACAAGCTTAACTCTTTGAAAAGCTCAAATAGCTAAGCTTGGCTTGAATATTTGAATTTTATTTTTAAAATTATTTTTAATTCAATTTTTTTACCTTAAAACTAATTATTTTATTTTGTAAAAGGTATAAAATATATGTTTTGAATATTTAAATGATGTATAGGATTCAATTTTTTTTTTAAATGCGGGCCTTAAAATCTAAAAATTAATATTAAAATATATTTTAAATATTATTTTGAGATATTTTATAGATTAAAAATAATAAAAATATGATAATATAAATATTTTAAATTTTTTTAAAAATTATATAATAATGCACTCAAATATATATAATATATAAAATGACATACAAATTAAAGAATTAATTAATACTTATTATATTTCATATATTTTTTTAAAAATATAATTTTTTTATTTCAATATTCTAGTCAAATCTAAACTCAATTGGGCTCGATTGAATTTTTTCAAGCCTATTTAAGTTGCCCAAACATCGAAAAACTATTATTTTGTTAAGTTTAATCCTAATTTTGTTTAAGTGAGTTTCAACTAACATGTTTAGTTTGACTTAAATTATCAATTTTATACGTAATTTTATTTTAAAATATTTTAAAATTTAGAACATAGATGATACAATAATTAGAAGGGCTAGCCAGCCTATCAATTAGCAAATAGAATGTCTTTCTGAATGTTTGGAAGTTAACCATGAAAGATGTTGAGACATGTGAAAAGGAACAGTAAGGCAGGAACTAATATGAATTACTTTCAAGGTGGCAACTTTTAGAAGTTTGATTGGACCTGTTTTTGTGGAGGATGAATTTTGAATATTTTAAGATTGAGTTTGCTAAATTTGAAATAGAAACGGATATAATGGAGAAAAGGAAAAATAAAATAATCTCATAAAAATCCTTATTCATTATATCACTCTTCAAATTACAGTCACAATTCGTGAGCATCTTATTTACATTTACTTATTCATGTAAGCTGACCCACTTGCCTGCATAGTTGAAGCTGAAATGGCCTGTATTGACCTAAGTTTTTTTTTTTTTTTAATTAGATTAACCCGTATTTTCTGCTCTCAGGTACCATGTAAGTATGGATATAAATTACATTAAATTATTTCTTTTACACTATTCTTTTTTTTTTTTGTTCTATCGCCAACTATTATGGAAAACTTGTGATATTATCACCATGCATCTAGGCTAAACATGATATTTACTGTATGGGTTCGTTATTATCAACGGGTTATCTCGGAGATATATTTGTCCTTTTTATTTAACAAAAATACATATCTTAAAATTCAAATTTAAATTTTCATGATAAACTAATTTGATTTTTTGACGAGTCAAACCAAATGTTTCTCATTTCTTTTACACCATTCTTTTTTCTATTATAATTGTGCGCAAAGCATCCTAAGAGATAAGAATTCAAACCTGAATTACTTTCAAAATAACATTAATTATTTTTCTTAAAATATACTGTATTAATTTTTTATAAAAGATTTAAATTACATAATTCCTTCATATATCATGTGCATGTACATATTTTTAAAATCAAACATGACCACGACATTTTTTTAAAATATGAATTATTAAATTATGACACTAATTTATGTAAAAGTTTGTAAATTTATTTGTTTTAAATTTCAAATTTAATTGTTTATCAAGCAAATGCATATATAATGTAAGTTATTGTCCTACCAAACAAGACTCTGTTATAATTAATTAAAGTTAACATGAATGATAACGTTTTTGGTCACTTAAGTAAATAGTTAAATGTTCAAATTATAACCCTAACAGATATAATAATTTAGTTGATAGAGGTCAATTATTGTCTCTCGGTACTTAAGAGAGATATTAGTATGAGTTTGTTATAGAATAAATTTAATTAAAAAGAATATTTTAAATATATAATTTTGTTTAAAAAAATAGAAACATAATCTATGCTAAAATAAAATGGGAATTGAGGAATGAGACTCCCGTCAATCCATGCTATGAATAAGGGAGAAGACGTAAATAAAACAAAATAAAATAATGGTATTCTCAAATGCGCCCCTCCGGCTCCAAATGCCAAATTCCAATCCTGAGTCAAACGGCGGGAAGGAGAAGCAAAAAAAGTGAATGCTCTGGTTTGCTTTTTCCAACCATTTGGACTTTTCACTTTGTCCTTCTTCGTGTTCCTTTTCTTCTTTCTTCTTTTCTTTTTCTTTCCTTCCTTTCGGAAATGACGCAGAAAGTGATTTCGCCAATTACGATCCCAATTTATCTCCAATTTAAAATAACACAGTAACACGAACTTGTTTATCTAAACCATACACTTCTTTCTCTGTGTTTCAAGTTTTTACAGTCTAACCATTTTACCCTTCTATTTTATCTGTGCAGGGCTTTAGGCTAGTCAAGTAGAAGAACTTTACACTTTTACTTTATGAAACTAGCAGGTAACAACCATGATTGTAGGTGCACCTTCTTCAGTCTCTTTAGTGAAGTAATAATTAAATGGGAAATAGATTTTAGTTGGAGGAATAAAAGATAGAAGCTTCTTTCACTTTCATTTCTTCTTTTTATATGGTTCTTCCTTCATAGTGCATTCACAATAATCTCAACATCTGAACAAATCTTTCACTTCTTAAGAGAAAACTGAATTTCCTTTCTGGTTAAACTATTTAGAACATGCAAGAAAGTTTTTGGATAATGCATATCTTGTTCAGTTATGGGTTGATCCCCAACTTACCTGCTCTTCTATGACCTTAAACAAGATGATGTATTAACATTTCACATCACTGTCCTCAATTATTTCACATGGCCAACCCTGAGTAGTTGGCTTGGCTCAACTGCAACCAATAGATGGATAGAGAACTGGTGAATGATTCAATCTACCAGACCCTGTGAAACCGTAATTTGATTGATTGAGGAAAGCTACTTGTCTGTAAATTTGGTTTGAAATAAAAACCCATAAATGAAATGCAAGAGTTCATTAAAGATAGGAACCATTTTTCTCAATTTTGATTTGCATTGAGGGAAGTTGTTCCTGTGTCACATTTAGGTTTGACGTCAATACTCATAAATGGAAAGTTTCATTGCATAAAGCTCTTCCATTCAGATTGATCAACCTAGATTTCAGAGCCTAAAGCTCTGCTCATAGAGATTATAACTTGAAATTACGTACCCAGTTGATAGAGGGGGGAGTTTGATTTGACACTCGAATAACCTTGTCTGCTATTTAAATGCTAGGCTCATTTTGTAAGCTACATTGCTCAAATTTTAATTCGATATTCACTCACTGAAAAACTGTAGTTTTAGCAGTAGAAAGACTGTTTGAGAAAATGCCAAGGACGAAGTCAAGTTTAATTACCACCATAATTGGCAGAGATGAGTTTAGAAAAAGTGAAACGAATAGCTTTCATTCGGGCCATCGCTCCTAAAACGTAGTTAAAAGAAGGGGGTAGGTGCATCCCATATTGTAGACATTGCAAAGAGGGCACATGCTGCGTGCGCCCAATGTCATCATGTTCATGTCCCACCCATTCCTCAATCAGCGCATAATTACTCGGGCCATTCCTCCTACTTGTTTCTACACTACTCTTGGAGCCTTATCCTCTATCAAGGTTTCAACTTTTTTTGGAACACTATCATGTACCCCACAATTTAAGGCTGTTCTCAAGTCTTGATCACATTCGCCAACTGGGTTTCATGAGGGCTTAACTGTAATCTGCTTGGTTGAGAACGAATGATTCCGTGTTCCCAACAGGCACCATGTGAGACCTTGGTTACTAGATTATACCCAAGTTGTGATGGGTCTGCCTGCAGGCCGCAGGAAACAAATTTGTGAAAGATTAGTTAAAGGTTTATGTCTCTTTGGATTCGGCTGTGACTACAGAAAGATTTGGATTTTATAATGTTGTTTACCATTAGAAAAAATAAGTAGAATCTTGACAAGATTATTAAATGTGATTAACGAGAAGAAAAAAATGAGGGGAGGGCCCCAGCTCAATCAACTAAAGTTTCTCTCGTGGAGGGACCACAATCATCCAACATCATCACAAGCGTCCCCGTCCCATTTGCACCTAATGAGTGGAAAAATCAGGAGGAGGGAGGTTAAAAGAAAGGTTAAAGTTCTCTATAAAATATACTCACTACCATAGTTGCTCATCAGTATACACACACAAACACACAAACTCTCCAAGCCAAACCCACCTTCCTCTCTTTCACATTCATGTCAACCATGGCTTCTTCCTTCTCAAACTGCATTTCTCTTCTTCTTCTCACATCTATTTTCATGTCTCTGCAAATTCATGCCAGAGACAGTCAGTTCTTCAGCAAAGTCACCCACGTCACCATCCCCACCACCACCAACAAAGGTGTTAAGGAGACAGAGCTTCCCAAAAAGGAAGAGCCTGTAAACAAACCAGAGCAAGAGCCTTCTTTCATGCCTGAGACTGAAAGCAGCTATGGCCTGTATGGCCATGAGTCTGGTCAATTTGCCCCAACAACCACCACCACCACCACCACAACCTACAAACCATACAAGACAGAGTTCGAGCAGCACACGGACAAATACCCTAACAAGTACTACTACAACAACGATGCCTATAATACCAACCAAAAGCAATTCACCAACACCAAGCTCACAGGAACTGGTTACAGCAACAACAACTACTACAACTACAAGACCGATGCCTACGGAGGAAACCAAAATGA